AAAGTCAGAGAGAGGGATAGGAAGAGAAACAGAGAGAGACAGAGACAGGAGAGAGAGAGACACAGAAAGAGAAACAGAGACAGACAGACACAGATATGGACAGACAGACAGAGAGAGGGAGAGAATTGACGTATCTGTCGCATAGCCTGCACTCTCTGAACTAAAGAACTCTCTATTACCTGGGCCACCAACCCTGTTTCTGGCTACACAGAAAGGGCTCCATAAATAGGATTATACTATGTTCCACTTTCAAATAACCTCTTTCTTGGGGTTGACCCATACAGAAAGGTACACAAGGTGCAGCTGGATGAATTTTTACAAAGTGGACACATTGAGGTAACCACATCTGTCAAGTGACAAAGTGTCACCAACTCAACATAAACCATCTGAATGCCCTGTCCCAGACACTACGCCACCTGCCTCCCCAAATGTAATCAATACTATCCTGACTTTTCACAGCATAAATTCATTTTGAACTTTACATCAATGAAACCACACAGTTGGTATTCTTTTAGACCTGCTTTATTCACTCCGCATTGTGACTGTGAGGTTTGTTCATGTTGTGGCAGCACTTTGCTCACTTTCATTGCCACATCATGTCCATGGCTGACGGACCACATCTACAGTGGCTGGACAGTCCGGCTGTTTCCAGTGTAGGGTGCTCATGAGTATGTGGCACACATGTTTTAGCGCATGTATGTACACATGTCTGTGGATTATGTATGCACGGGATACCTGGCTCTCAAGGGATTCATCTGCTCAGCTTTAGTAAATACTGCCAATCCGTTTCCAAAGATGTACTGATTTGCATGAGAATTCTACTTTCTCCATATTCTCCCCATAATGTACATAATGGACTCACCATGGCCAATGTGTTACAAAGAAGATCATGAAATTTTTGAAACTTTCTTAAATGAGAAGTCAAAGGAAAAAATTAAGTTCAGAACCATGGAAGAAATCTCCATTCCATTCCAATGAAATTACAAGGTAAAGAGAAATGTGAATCTGCAAAAAGTAAGTAAATACATGTACAATAGGTGTGGTTTTTTAAAAAGATTTCTTTGTAATGCTTTTACACTATGGAACATGTAAAAGGCCTTAGTAACCTCAAGAACCTACATTTAAAGGCTCTTTTATTTATTGTTCAGTTTCTTTAGCTCTGCTCCTCACCACATTCCTGGGAGAAGTGGAAGGTTGGTAATTAAGTTGTTGCACCTTGAATCTTCTACCCAGAAGGCTTTTAAGTTCTTAACGTTTTGAAGTCTTGTTAGGTTCCCTGGGCAGGGTAGGTCACATGACATAAAAGTTCCCAAGCAACAGCTTTCTTATTTTTTGCTCAAAGAGAAACATTCTTAGTGTGGTTAAAGTTTAATCCACATTTCAGCAGCCCTCCCAAATGTATGGAACATACAAATATATTTATTTAATCTGACAAGTCAATGTCAATTGCTTCAGCCTGACCAAAGGCTTTTCCTCTCGTTAAAAGTGTATGACAGGGAGTTGATGGTTTTCTTTCACTGAACAAGGGCAAGTTATATTTGAGGGGGGGAAAATTAAGCCATCTGGGAAGTTATAAGGGCAGACGTGAACAATATCATTATTCATTTTTAAGGTTTTTTGTGTAGAAGTAATTTTTGTGCTTTAGGGAAAAAGCAAAGTAACTAGTCCTATTAAGAGCAACCAGAACATTCAAAAAATCAAATTTGTATTTTCTTTAAAAACAGAACATCAAGAAATTAAGTAAAGCCCTAACCGGTTTGGCTCAGTGGATAGAGCGTCGGCCTGCAGACTGAAGGGTCCCAGGTTCAATTCTAGTCAAGGGCATGTACCTTGGTTTCGGGCACATCCCCAGTAGGGGGTGTGCAGGAGGCAGCTGATCGATGTTTCTCTCTCATCGATGTTTCTAACTCTCCATCCCTCTCCCTTCTTCTCTGTAAAAAATCAATAAAATATATATTTTTTTAAAAAAGAAAGAAATTAAGTAAAAAGTCAAACTTTTTTTTTAAATGTTGCTGAAGGTCGTAAAGTACAAATTGTGTGAGTAGTTAATTTCAGCTTCAGTCTCAAGACACTTGCTCTCAGCCATGACCAGGATAAGAAATCAACATATTAACAGTTCTCTTTATATTTTGAGATTATGAGTGTTTCAAATTTTCTATGATGACGTCTCATTATTTTACAATCAGGCAACAAATAAAAGTTATTTTTAAAATAAAATAATTCTCAAAATTATGTATAGATAAAAGAATGTACGGAAATATACTAAATATTACTGGTTTGGGGTTATGGAATTATAGGTAATCTTCCTTCTCTTTTTACTTTTCTCTAATTTCTAGATGTGTCTGGGCATGTGTGAGTGCATGAGTGGAAGTGAATGCATAACTTTTATCATAGAAGCAATAATAAACATTATCTTTCACAATCTGCATGCAGAATATGACCCCTATTTTTAGCCTCTGTAGTTGGTGACCAGAATTCTCTAAATACAGTTCTGCATAGGTCTGAATAAGGTCCACCTGGCTTCTGGTTCTGGCTCCGCCACTCACATGCTATGTGATCTCAGAATAGTTAATTATCCACTCTGGGCCTCCATGTTCTCATCTGTAAAGTGTGACTAACTGCACCCATATTTCCAGGAGTGTTATGAGGATAAATAAGATCATATAAGTAAAACAACAACAAGAACAAAAAAAAACTTGATACAAATGTCCATGAAGGGTAATTGATTATTCAAAATACAGCATAAAGTTTATAGAAATCTAGAGGTTTTATCTACTCAGTCTTCCCTATGAAATTGTCAAGATGTAATAAGAACAGCTCCCCTTTTATTAATTTTAAAGAGGAAAAGATTTGTGAAACAATGCATGACATCTGTAATCTATTTAGAAAAATAAGCATATTTTTCCATTTCAAATATACCACATACCTTTGATTTTTTTGAGCATATCATCTCCATCAAGTTCTAATATGAGGTGTGAAAAGATTAACTTGTTTTTCATTATTTTAAATGTTGCATAAAGGTACAGATATAAGCTGTTAATCTGATTATGTAAATATTACATATTTTTCTTTAATCATCAGAGTACATTTTAGTCATGTACTGGATAATTCAGGTGTGTGTGTGTGTGTGTGTGTGTGTGTGTGTGATGTAGATAAAACATCTGCTCTCCAAATGATATGCTGAATCCCAAATATAGAGTTTTACTTCTTTTTTTTGTAACTCTGCCTAGTGACAGCAAAAGAAAACAAAACAAAAAACAGCTTGAATCTATTTACAACATATACTAGTAAGCCAATATAAGTTTGAAGAAATAACCAGTCTCGGGGGTTATCATTTGGAGCTAAAAACTAACATTTTAGGGGTAAAATGCTTGGGATGGGGGATAAAACCTGACCTTGCAATAGAGTACCCCTAACTATTCACCCAACAGCCAAGTTTGGTCAATGGAGCCTCATTAGGCCATTGTTCTCACGACTGAGAGAAAAAGAAATTCCTTATATTTTGTTCCAGAAAATTTTTACTTTAAAGTGAATGACTGACTCTAGCAGTTTTGGCTCAGTGGATAGAGCATCGGCCCACAGCTGAAGGGTCCCAGGTTCGATTCTAGCCAAGGACATGAACCTCAGCTTCAGGCTTGATCCCCAGCCCTGGTAGAGGTTATATGGGAGGCAACCAATCATGTGTCTCTCTCACATCGATGTTTCTCTCTGTGTCTCTCCCCCTCCCTTCCACTCTCTCTCTAAAAATCAATGGAAAAATATCCTCAGGTGACGATTAACAAAAAAGAATAATCATAATAAAGTGAATGGCTGAAACTATGATGCAGTCAGGAAAACTGTACACCAAGAAGAGAGTAATGATTTTCAGTGTTTTCCTGAGCCATCAGTGAATGGCTTCCTTGAGAATATTTGAAATTTTCATACCAGAGAACATATCAAATTATCAACGAGTACAAGTAGAAGCAAATTATGTTACATTCCTCATTGTTGAAGTTAAAACCTTCTTTTAATTAACATTTCTTCTAAATCCTTTATAGCTGGAAGAAACCTGATAGAATATCCCATGTAGTCCACCATACATTTGTAAAATGAAAAAAATCCCCTCCGTGTGTGTGTGTGTGTGTGTGTGTGTGTGTGTGTGTGTGTGTGTGTGTGTGTGTGTGTGTGTGTGTGTGTGTGTGTGTGTGTGTGTGTGTGTGTGTGTGTGTGTGTGTGTGTGTGTGTGTGTGTGTGTGTGTGTGTGTGTGTGTATGTGTCAGAATAAAACCATAAATAGTATATGTTTGAAGGGCATGGATTGAAGGAGAAGGGATTAATGAGGAGCAGGTGTGATATTTGCCTTTTAAAAAACGATTGAGATATATAGTAGTTTACTCTAAAGTAATGTGCCTTCATTGGTAGATTTCCAAATCCATGGGTAATTGCAATAATAAAATTTGTAAATATGAAAGAACATTTTGTCTTGATTGCTTCCTCCTGGATGCACAGATCAAATCTCAGATTTATTAATCCTTCCTGGGGAGGATTTCTCATCAAAATGTTCAGTCTTTTGAACTCAGGTTGTTCTTGCTTTTCCACTGGTAGAAGAGAATCACTAAAAAGTGTAACTCTATCTAATTATATCTCTTTAATTTCAGACAAGATTTTATATCCAGTTGGGCCGTACTCATTATGCTAATATCACCGAACTCAACCAATTCTGCACTATAACTGCCAATCCTTAGAAATATTAGGCCATCCTCTTTTGTTCTGATTTTATCTACCCTTAAAACTTACAAACATACCACATGTTTATGTTAACTTGTATCTATGTTAAAACAACACTGAAAATGTTATTCACTATCTGATTCAGATAGGTATGTTTTAATTAGTATCTCTTTAATTGCTAGCCATGACTTAAAAAATAATCAACACCTTTAGAATGGCAGAAGCCACAAAGTAACAATACTGTGTTTTTATAATTCCTTTTAAAAAAAATAATAAAAGTAAGACTTTCATGCTCAGTTTGATTCTTTAATAATGTAATAATAATTGGTACTCAGGAAAAAAATAAGCTCTACATGTTCAGCATCATTAAAGATTAAATTTTGTTTTATATTCTATGGTTGTATTAGAAAATGCACATTTTGATACATTATACTTCACAAATTGGCTTTCTATACATGTGTTAACTCTTCTTAGAATACTTTATTAATCAGGACATTGACAAACACAAAATTCTTTTACTGTTTCAAGCGTCAGGCTATAATTTCAGCTCTTATCTTTTTCTGTGTGTATGATGACAAAAGTCACAGATCTGGGAGTCAACAGACTGAAGTCCATCACTTACTGGCTCTGTGAGCCTGGTGAAGTCATTTGTTTGACCTCTAGACTCAGCTAGTACATCTATATAATGAAGAGGATATTACCCATCTCAAGGGATTTGTCTAAGAATCAAATGAGATAATCAAAGTTAACTGTTTAACACTATGCCCTGATACACGTCCTAAACACACAATAAATATTAGACAGTATCAGGTTCACTCATTATCTCTTTCTTAAATGAAAATAGAGTATCTACCTCCCTTACCTTGCCTAAGATTTTTAAATTAGCTTAATATTACTAAGCATGTATAACAATGGAACTTTCAAAAGTATCATATTATGAACATTTTTCTTTTTCACCTCAGAGTGAGATTTGCATTCACCTTTTACCATTCCCCCTCATGGCCTGGAAGAGTTGATACCTCATTATCAATAATAATACAAGTTTATTTACTCCCCAAGGGAGGGCCAATTTTTGCTTCAGGTTTAGAGCTATCTGCTGGCATTAACAATTTCTAACTTTTAATTATCCTTTTTTCCCACTTGAAAGCCTAAACTGGATTGAAGAGGAAAAAAACAAAAACTCCTTTTCCCTTATCCAAGCTGTGAATTTAAAATACCTGTGTTTTGTCTGCACCTCTGTCACTTTTAACCATAGCTTCTAGAATAATTTTGACAATTTCTGAACCATTTTACCCTAGACTCCACATTTTCTCGAGTGTCTTTGGTTAAGGTAGATCGCTGTCTTCTAATGCCATGCTGATTCTTCTGAGGCTTCAGGTGGCCCATGTTAAAAACAACTTCTTCCTGGTCTTTGGAAAAGTGGACAGCCAGGGAGCCAAACTCCTCATGAAATAGTCCAATCTGATTCCCTTGGAGTGGTGACTTCTGCAGAGAGAGAAGTGTCCTTATTATACAATCCAGTGCTTAAATGATCTGTTTGTCATATCCTACTTCTCCCCAAGTATCATCTTTCTCCAAATTGAGGCTCATAATAAGAACATTTTCTTTTTAATTTCTATCCTAAATCCTTCATAAAAAGTCAATCCACAGATGGGTGCAAGAGCCACATGGTCTCTTTGGGAGCCAGGGCACAAAAGTCAATTAGGTCTAAAATGATGGCCACGTGATGTCTGAGGCTTCCTTTTGCAAATCCCAAGTTGAAGGAAGATGGATTGTGGTATCTCCAGGGACCAGATTCCTGGGAGTCCCTTATCCCTTAGCTCTGGATCCAAAGCAGGAACCATGTCTTCCCGGCTGCAGTGAACTGGCACAGCTGCCCTCTGGTCTGTGTTCAGCACGATTCCAGGAAATTCGGGCAGACACTGAAGGAGGCAAGAAGCACACGACTGAAAGTGCGGTGTGTTTAACGTAATATGGAACCTCACCACCCACAAGCAGTCTGCTCCAGGAAATGCCATTTCCTCTTCCAGGAAACAAAGGTGTGGAGCACTTCTGAGCAGCAGCCGTGTTTGTAAAATAGAGATAATGTCTGATAGAAAATGCTTTGTAAGCTGGGAAAGGAGAAGGCTGGCTAGACAGGATGCTGGAGTCAAAAAGGTCCAGAGGTATCCCTCACACCTAGTACGTATCAAGAATAGATATGGAATTTTTTCTTTCAGATGATATTAAAAATAAAACCTTTTAGAGACATGATGAATATTGTTTTTTAAAAAATCTAGTCTTCCAATTAATGAGTTTGCAATTGCAGGACTACATAGTTATAAAATATGTAGTTCTGTAAATAAATAAATAAATAAATAAATATTAAAATAAAATAAAATAAAATAAAATAGTAGAGTAGCACTGGTCCCCGAGACCAGCTATCCTGAGAGAGAAGCAGAAAACAGAGGACATGGCTCTGGAATGGAAGCAGTGTTCAACAGGGCTTGAGGCCTATTTCACACCAGCCTGAGATGAATGCCGGTTCTGGTACTTCATCAATTGTGGCATCTTGAGCAGGCTGCATGATCCTTCTAAGCCTGGTTAGTCTCATCTCTAAAATAGAGGAGATGAGGATGATGATATAATATCTAACTCATAAGATTGTTATGAGGATTAAGAGAACAGTGCATCCAAAGTGCTCATACGATGACTGGTATATAGGTACTCAGCACATAATCGTCATTATTTGGAATTTCTTTTTAAAGCCACTAACTAGTATTGATGAAATTAAAAGGGCATGTGAATTTCCCTTGAGCCCCAATACCTACTTAGCCTCCTTCTCAAAAGTCAATGAAAAGCCAGCAATGGGGAATGAATGGGTTTACTATCTCCTAGGCACTGTAGCCGTTGGCAGTCTGCCATCTCTTCTTGATGTGATAGGCTGTGTAAGGATGGCTGGAGAAGAGCCAGGAGGAAGGCATTTTGAACTAGGAGGTTTCTCTTTGACAGTCTGCAGAGAGGAGCTGATGGGGTAGGAGGATGGTCATTGATCCAGCTCTAACGGCTTGTTCCCAGCCATAAACACATTTTTCCTCCAAATTTTAGTAGCAAATATGCAGTGAACGCCTACTACATGCCAGGGAAATATACAATGAACACCTACTACATGATGGCAGGGTGAGCCAGCACTTCTGAAGCCCCATCCACCTTCAACCTCCCTGGCTAGACTCTTCTAAGAGGTGGCAGCATCTCTGTTGGATGATCCTGGCCTAAGGGTCAGTTCAATGCTGTTAGATATTAGCAATAGGGGAAAGGGGCTCATTTTAATGGACTATATTTTACCCTTATAAGGTGTGTGCATTTGCTTTGCTGAGTTCACATAGATTAAGAGAAAGAATCACCATATCTGGCTTCCCAGCACAAGCAGCAATGTGAATTAATCAAGTCACCAAACCCTGCTGGGCCTTGGTTTTTCGGGGGGATGGGGGGTGTAAGAGATCAACCAAAGGTCTTGTATGCATGCATATAAGCATAACCCATGGACACAGACAATAGGAGGTTGGGGGCATGTGCTGGGGGTGGGAGAGGCCAGGGAGAGGTCAATGGGGGGAAAAGGAGACTCATGTAATACTTTCAACAATAAAGAATTTAAAAGAAAAAAAACAAAGAAAGAAGGAAAAAGTTTGAGTACTGGCTGGTGTGGCTCAGTTGGTTAGAGCACCCTTCCATACACCAAAAGGTCACCGCTCAATTCCTGGTCAGGGCACAAACCAAGGTTTCCACCTTTGCGCATTTGAGAGTCAGGCAACCAATCAATACGTGTGTCTCTCTCTCTCTCTCTCTCTCTCTCTCTCTCTCCCTCCCTCCCTCCCTCCCTCCCTCCCTTCCTCCCTCTCCCTCTCTGTAGAATCAATACAAAATATCCTCAGGTGAGAATTTTTTAATGTTTTTTAAAATAATAAATAAAATTTTGGAACTAGCAGGAATCTAAGGTCCTTTTCAGCTGACACTCTATCCTTCTATGACCAGAAATCTGCTGATCCAAGGCTTGGCTTCTTTTTTTTCCCTACCTTTTTAATCTCTCTCTCTCTCTCTCTCACACACACACACACACACACACACACACACACACACATATTTTTTTAAGTATTTCTGTTTTATTGCTCACTGGTCCTAGTTTGTTAAAGCAACAAAAGCCTTAGCCAAGCACATTTTAATCATTTAGTGTCATGATTGAGAGGGAATAGCTCTGTAATAGTAATATAGTATCGGTAACCAGACATGTAATTTCTGACATGAATTTAAAAAAAGAATTCTATTAAGTATAGGGGGGCACACCCTATTATCCTCAGCATGATTGTCAATCATGTCAGCGAAGCACAAAAGTCGTAAAATGACACATGCACTGTCACGACATTCCATTACAACTTCAAGGGCTCAGTTTAGAGAGGGCAACTTTGGACATTATAAATAAAACAACAGTGTGCAGATAGAAAATCAAAATCCCAGGTCAGACACCACCTGGGAAAGACTATCCAAGGCACAGAATTGTACCCAAACCTTCCCAGACAGGTAATTCTAAAACAAAGATATTCACAAGTCCTTTCTAGTGTAAAAACAGACAAAATAGGTGAAGTTCTCTTCACAGGGTGACCTTGATCCTTCCCACTGAAGGATCGTTTTCGCTTTTCAGTTTGTCTAGCTAGAGAATCATGTGGTCTCAGTCCCCCCTCTCCTTTCCTCGCATCAGCCAGTGTGGGCCCGAGCTCAGCGCCCCTTCCTCCCCGAACAGCGCACCCGAAGCGTGTCCCATCCCCTTCTGGTCGCCACAGCGGGGAGGGAAGAACCTGTAAAGAGCGAGGCTGGAGGGCGGGGCGGGCACAGCCGAAGGAGAGGAGGCGCCGGCAGCTGGGCGCTGGGCTGG